GGACGAGTCATTTGTCGTGTCATCATGCCTTGCAACTGGTGGGTGGCCCGCATGCTCGGGAGAGTCTAATAGAAAGTTTGAGTTCAAATGCTTAACCTTCTGTTAGCCAACATATAATAAATGCATGCTATTCAATATTTTTCTGTCTTTGAGGCATTTGCCTCCTAGTAGCCTATCCTCCAGAATTATTTTTAGGATGTTCCTCTCTTCATGTTCTAATAAACTTCTACATCATCAATGGCCTTGTTGCTGCTGAACACAATGGTACCCATTGTGTTTGCTGAGAATACTCCTGACAATTGAAATGGAATAGACCTGCCTAACATGGATGGCAAAAATATAAGTTTACACTACATCAACAGGCTTGGGTAAAGCATACCAGTTACCAATGCCCATATTTTTACTATTCAGTTTTGATAAAGTTACAATGAAGGGGTGATGATAAAATGTTCCCAGAAGCAATGAATAAAAACATAAAATTGTGTACATAGTCCCAATGCTTAATTACCTGAAGGCCATGCTGTGGACTTGCTTAAGTGTCTATAAAACTGCTGGTCAGGCAGTGAGTCACAGCAGGGCAACACTAAAGTGTGCTAACTGCTCAGACTCAGCAAAGGAGAAAGCTATCTTAGCAAAGGGGGTCCTGGGTTTGCCTCCTGTGAATGGGAATTCAACTTTGAACAAATTCAATATTTTAGGACCTTCACATCTGAATTCTCCTTAGATCAGTGTCTGGCTACATAATGTTCCAAGGCACTTTTCTGAAACATGAAGACCAATAAAAAAATTCACAGAAACAGACATAAGAAATTACTGAGGTGAAGAATTAAATGCTCTTTTTTCTTCCCAAACTACAGGGGATTAGCAATTTGCTACTTAAAGGAGAGGTAAGACCCAGTTTCCAATTACCCCATATTTTCCTTAGAAATAGAAAAAGTACAAAGGGGAAAGGGAAAAAGAGGTTGGAGGGTAATATTAACTTCAAAGTCCCTGCAAGGTCAAGTTTCAAAATGCATGCTCTGCCAATCTGTCACCCCTTATAGTTTTATTTGAAGATAACACCCTTTGTCACCAAAGTATCTGTAGGCCAGGAAGTCATTCTCCCACTTCACTGTTGAGAAAATATAAAGAAAGAGCTATGACCAAGATTGATTTAGGACTAGCAAGTTACTACTTACTAGCATATTACCATACTTGGATTAGTATAGTCACAAAATGAAAGTACAATCCAATATAGCTAACAGTACATAGCACTGAAATGTCTCCTCTTTTATTAATGATTGAAAGGCACCAGACCTTTTTGGATTGCTTCAATTTTAACAGGAATTAATTTATGTTTGAAGTAGACAAATGTGAAATATGAGGCTGTATGAACTTAGTGATGTTAGCTATCATTTTAAATAAATTACTCTTTTTAACACTGTTTCCACAGATTAACCAGTAATTTTAAAGGTCCCAAGACACTCAGGATTGGCTAGTCTCTAGTAGGTACTGTGCTCTGTGGAGGATACAAATTAATTTGAAGGTATTCCTAAGAACAACAACAAGAATACACGTTCATAATGAATAGAGGAACATCTACAACACAAACCACAGTTGTACTTCCTAGGAACATGTGCTGCTTACACAGCTATCCACACCCACACACGGATGTATACACTGTTCTATATAACACGTTTGAATACAGGATTCCTATTCACATTTCCCCTCCTTTCTTTCCCTCCTCCTATGTCTCCATGCTGGAAAATAGCCCAGGGTTTTGAGCATGTGAGGCACAGAAAGCATTTCTTGTTCAAATATCATACCTCAACCCACTAATAATTTCTCGGTGGAAAGTATGAGTCCTTTAACGAGGCAGATCAAGTGGGGAAGGAAAGGAGCACGTGTAAGAAGCGTTTAAACCATCTCCTGGTTTACAGGGAAGAAAAATACCACCACAAATAAGCAAAGAACCCCAAATATGTTGGCCTATTTCAGCACAAGCCAGAACAGAAAAGGAAACTGTGATCTCACTCCTGCCACAACTTTTTGTCCTCTTTTGAGTCCTGTGTAGAGATTTCATGTCTTATGCTATGCCCAGATCAACTCATTAGAGCTGGAAGAGCCTCATTTAATTCCTGCCTCTCTTCCCGGTGCCAACTTCCCAATCACAAGGAGCAACACTGAGGAAACACTGACCTCCCTTGTGTATGATTCACCTGTGTATGCATGTGCACTGACTGCATTCCTAGTTCCCTCAGAAGCCAGAAGAGGGCACAAGATCCTCTGAAAACAAAGTTACAGACAGCTATAACCATGTGTGTTATAGAAACCCAATCCCAGTCCTCTGAAAGAACAGCAAGTGCTTTTTACTGCTAAGCCATCTCTTCAGACCCTTGTAGTCAGTATTTTTAAGCAATCTCTCCACTGACAGAAATTTAAATGTATCTTTTCCCTCTACTCCAGGCTCTTACCAAATGCTCCCATCTCTCCCTCCTAAACCATCCCTCAATTATGTTTATAGTCTAGTTCATTGTCTTAGCCTTAACCATGACAAACTGTCCTTGCTGAAATTCCCAGGTTGGAGATTAAAGTTAACATAAATGCTTTTACACAAAGTTTACTTTTCACATATAGATTTTATTAATGTTATTTTCTTACCTGAAAGCTACTTACTACATTAAACATCAGGTGTAACTCACCTCAAGACATCCTTAACCAAACCACTCTCAATAGCCACCTCCAATCCTTTTTTCCCCTCTCACTACCAAATCTTCCCCACTTGGCAATTCTCAAACACCTTAGTTTCATGTTCTGTTTATCCAGTCATCCCATCATCTCCTTTCCCTCTTGTCTACACATGCAATCTAAATCTTCTGCATTTAAGTATGATATCTAAGGTATACAGGAAACTCCTGAACATATTTTTGTAGGCAATGAGACGGAAGAGGAGGAAGAAGAAAGAAGAGAGAGGGTTAGAAAAGAGTACAACTATAAGGCCCTTAGGAATAGCACCAAAAGTTAGCTTTGAGCTTTGTTCAAACTGTCAACGAATGTACTTACCGTACTTAAATCCGTCTTCATATTCCTCATCTTCTGACAATTACAACAGTGAGGAATGCTCTAATCCCAGAATGATCCAATGTCACCATGACTGTCCACAGCCCAGTGACCTATTTCCATTATTAAACTGCAGGCTTCTGCGTTTTGATCTCAAGTTTCAGTGATTCTACTCATAGCGGGAGGGGATAGGCAAAAGGCATAACTTCTGTGAAATCACAAGAAATATATTAGCATTCAGATTCATTGGGGATCTAAATTGCAGTTAAAAAAAGTCAGGTGAGGCAAAGCCATGCATCTCTCCCACTCGGCAGAAGGACACTATGCATTAGTGTGCTCAGCGCCTTCCTGCACACCTAAAATGGCTCTTTGGCAGGACTAGGGGCAAAGAAAATCTATTTTTGAGTTTTTATATATAAGGCTCACTGTCTGGCTGAGTCCAAAACTGTCACTTTGGCTCCTAAAGTCTAACGCTGAAAGCTTACTGAGATAAATATGGACCTTCTCATTCAGGCTGTCAGGAAATGCGTGGATCTATTTTATTTATACCCTTAAAAATGATTTCATTTTGGCTTTCCTTTTTTGAAGAAGTTTCATCTAGGGCTTAATTTTGCTGACAGCATGCTGTTCCCTAAGAAGAAATAAAAGTAACTGCATATTCAAAACCAGGTATGAGTGAATATACAAAAATTATTGTTCCTGACATCACGGAAGTCCTGCTCCAATGTCTCCTAGAGTATTTTAAATCAATTTCAATGAAAGCCACTTATCCAATAACTGTGATTGTGACTTCTTTAGATGAATATTCTGTCTAGTATTTATAGACTAAGAAGTAAATAGTCACTTGCCTACTTGCTTCTCTGGTATTTGGTTCTGTTTTTACCTATATTTTTCTCTACTTTCTTAACTTCATATCCATGCCTGTTGTCCTTGATAGAAGTGCTCTAAAAGACGGACCTATTGAACCAAAGGGAACAAACTAAGTCACAAGAAATCCTTCAGTCAAAACAAATGGCAGCAACAACCAAAAGATTACAGCAATTCCATAGTGCTAAGCTGATCTCTGACAGTGATATTAACACACTGTTTACATTTATCCTTCCCTAATTGATGCTATCATCTGCCATTCTGAATTTTCCACTGACAGCAGTATTTCTGCTGCTCTTCCAGAGATGTAGACCACCCTTATCAGTCTTCATTGAGCCAAGAGCAAGACACATGCCAAGGGCAAAGGACTTAAGGGTACAGGACATAGCCAGAGTTGAGCAAAGAAAAAGCAGCAGTGTAAGTGCCAAGAGATAGAAGAGAGAATTGAGGTTGTTCATTTTACAAAGGAGCCCAGGTTTATTTTACAAAGGCTTGCCAACTCACAAACTCCCTGTCCACCTGAAATCCATTCCTTGGTGTGAAGATTGCCTATTATGTAGCAACATTGTTTGAGTTGTATATATCTAGTAAGCCAATGTGCTGTAACCTGTCCCCTCCAACCCTTCCAATAATAGCCTTTGATGTTTTGATCATGCTAAATCATATTATTCTGAAATCAGTATGGTTTGTGGTTAACCTTTTATATTTCCTGTTCCTCTAAATTACTTCTCCTTTTAAGAATGCCTTCCTTTAAGGCCATACCAGCCTAGGACAACTGTCACACTAATACCAAGACCAACATAGGAATAACCAGCATTGAGTTTGACAAGGAAAATAAGACGTTCTTTTTATTTTATAGCATTTATAAAATATTTTAATGATACAATCTATGCACTTTAAACAGCTAAGAAAGTATAAGACAGTTTTTGCTAAAGGATCCAAAACAGCAAAACTTCTTCAAACTCTCAGAAAACAAAAATTTTCTTTCAAAAGACAACAGTTGATTTGCTTTGAACCGGAATGCCAAGTGTACTGGGAAATCTGTAAAGCTTTATTTCCAGAAAATGTTTCTTTTCAACGTATCATTAGGATCAAGTTTGGCTGCACAAAACATTAACCCATCAGAGTACGTAACATTTAAATAAGGTGATCCAGGTGATTCA